TTAAACATTTTTTAGCACATTGCTACATATTCACAATCCTACTTTACCCAATAACTTGAGTTTTAAGAGTTTCTGGTGCAAAGTTTAATCATTTATTCACTTAGTTATACAGTGCTTAAAAGTTGATAATTCTACTGACTGGTAGAATTATCAGAACTTGGGAGGCAAACGCAGGTAAATCTCTGTGAGTTCAAAGCCAGCCTGGTCTACAAATTGAGCTCCAGGATAGCCAGGATGTTGCACAGAGAAACTGTCTCAAAAAAACAAAATAAACAAATACAAAAAGTTGGTAATTTTGAGAGTCACAAAAAGAACACTCTCCTTATTCTATAATTAATGTTTATTTAAAACATACTTATAGAGCTGAGCATTGGTGTCTTATGCCTTTAATTCCAGCACTCAGGAGACAGAGGTAGGCGGATCTCTGTAAGTTCGAGAACTACAAGTCAGTTCCAGGATAACCTCCAAAGCAATACAGAGAGACCCTATCTCGAAAAACAAACAAAACAAAATAAAGCAAAACAAAAAACATACTTATAGAGCTGGAGAGATGGCTTATCATTTAAGAGTACTAGCTGCTTCTGTAGAGGACGAAGGATCAATTCCCAGCACTCACATAGTAGCTCACAACTCCCATCCCAATGGATCCTATGCCCTCTTCTGGCCTGTATGGACACTAGGCACACAGTGGTACACAGACATGAATGCAGGCAGAACATTCAAATACATAAAAAATAAATAAATAGAATACAGAGTGTAAGATACAATACATAGCAGTGTTGCCACATTTCCACACATCTACACATGATTGAGCTGACCAGTTGGTATTCAGAGATAAGAGACCAGGTGATATCATATCATAGAGAAGAAACAATATCATTTTAGGAAGGAACATGAAACTACATGTCAAGTTTTTACAAGTCTAAGTGGTAACAGCAGGTGTTCTTTACATTACATAGTATTACTTATTATTAATAACAGTATCTATATGATACTACAGACACATATTTTGGTGGTTTGAATAGAAATGGCCCCCACTGGCTCATATGTCTGAATTCTTAGTTACCAGGGTATGGCAATATTTGAGAAGGATTAAAGGTGTGGTATTGCTGGAGTACATATGACCTTGTTGGATGAAGGGTGTCACTGAAAATGGGCTGGGAGTAGGCTTAAAAAACGGTTTTAAAAGCACACAGCAGGCTCAGTGTTGCTCTCTCTGCCTACAGATCAGGATGTAGCTCTTAGCTACTGCTCCTGCATGCTGCCTTGTTTCCCCCTCTGAAACTGTAAGCAAGCCCCTGATTAAATATTTTCTTTTATAAGATTTCCTCTGGTCATGGAGTCTCTTCACAGAAATAGAACAGTAACCAAGAGGCAAAGACGCATAGGTTTACATGTAAAACACATGCATGTATAACAAAATAGAATATGTAAATAACTTAATGAGTTCTTTGTTGTTGTTTTCAGTATTAGTGATGCTAGATAAAACAATTATGTTTAACTCACAGTCAGTGAGCTGCATGTAGCTCAGGATAGCTATAAATGTGGCCTGACCAAACACAAAATTGTAAATTTACTAAAACATTACAAGACATTTTTGTGATTTTTGTTGTTGTTAAAGCTGGACTGCTCAGTCCTCAAGGGAGAATTTTGTGGATGACAGCATCATGTTACAATGTCAAAGGCTGGACACACCTGTTTTCTTTCTGTCTAGTCAGTGACCTAATAACTTTGCAGGATACAGCTTAAACTCAAACGAATAAAATAAAATAGTATCATTTTTTAACAGAGCTCTTAAAGGTAACTGTTTCTGCCTAAGTAATTACAGTTCCAAATGACTTTGTGCTGAAAACATTTAAATTCTTGGAACAAATTTGGTCTTGTGGAGATAAAAGTATCACTGGTTTTCTTCTGTAATCCTTGACAACTACATTACACATTCCCCTAGTGAGCTGACATTTCAAGTAAACATAAATCAAGCTCTACCAGTAAATGGTGGAGTTACAATTCTGAGTGTGCCACTTATATGACTCAGGTTTCAACCTTAATATAAAATCATGTGTGGAATTCTCTGAATTTTACATCATGATTTAAATGTGTGTGTGTGTGTGTGTGTGTGTGTGTGTGTGTGTGTGTGTGTGTATAATCCCTCACTGAAAAATAACTAAGTAATAAAGATAGTAATCATCTCATTTTGATTTGACATTCTGTCAACCAAACATATAGGCTAACATCACCTTGAGGTGTTAATAGTAGTTTAAAATATACACTGTCCTAAAGAAGTATTTGAATGTGTGTACATGTTCATGTGTATATTTGTATGTAGAAGTTCATGGGTATACCTGTGAGTATGGAGGCAGGAGGTCAATGTCAGGTATCTTCAATCATTTCTCCACCATATTTGTTAAAAATTTATTTATTTGTATTTTATGTGCATATATGTTTATCTGCATGTATCTGTATATACCATTTGCATTCCTGGTGCCCAGAAAGGCCAGAAGATGTCAAACCCCTGAAATTGGAGATAGTTGCAAGCCATTGCGTGGATGCTAGAACTCAAACCCAGATCCTCTAGAAGAGCAGAGAACGCCCTTAAATACTGAGCTATATCTCTGGCTTCTCTCTGCCTTATTTTTGAAACAGACTCTCTAACTAACCCTGGGACTCACCAACTGCCATTCCCTGCTGTCTCAGTTTCCCCATCAATGTGTATTGCTGCATATGGGTTTTTATGTGAGTGATAGGAATCTGAACTCAGGTACTAATGACTCCCCAGCTACCATTTTACCAAATGAGCCATCTTCACATGCTCCAAATACCATTCTTATAAACTCTATTCCATCAGCAAATATAGATTCATATGAGATCTGAATTCTGACTTCTATTAAATCCTGAGAATATTTCTAATACTAGTAATGACTGGCCACAAGAGACAATGAAGGAGAAAATTATGTTCAAATTTCAGATATCAAAGTAGCCTACAAAGAAAAACAAACAAAAAAATTCAAAATAAAATTAGGAAACTCTCAGGACAAACTCAGAATTGGATGTTGTAGCCGTAACAGAGTGGTGAACTGCCAAATCTGCTTCCTACTTATATACTTAGAAATCTATAGCCTTGATGTAATTTCTGTTATTTGCTGAAAGAAGGTGAAAATCTAATGCAGATATATTGAAACTGTGTAATAGTGGTCATATGTAGGACCAAGAGAAATATAGAAACCGTGTAAATACCTGTGACCATTTTGATAACTATATACTTAGTAGGTAGGTGTTTTCCATGATAATTTCATTAACACTAACCATATTCATATATTTTAATGAATAAAAATTTTCCACATTGGCATAATCCTTAGTATATCCTTAGTTCCTTAAGCATATTTGATAGCCTTTCAGGTATCAATACTATAAGGAATTAGAAAATTGATCAGACAACTGTATCAGCACATACATATAAAACCATAAGATATAGTTTTATTCAGCAGATATATGATAAAATTATATAGTTTCTGATATCAGGGAGATGAAGTTAGTTAGTTCAAAATTAAAGTAAATATCCTTTTAAGAGCTTATGATACAGTTGACAGAATTTTTCCTAAAAGTTAAACCATGTTATCTTACTGAGTGTCAAGATTCGGATCCTATTTGCTTGATACTCTCTTCTTACATGCTAAAGCATAGAAGCCTACCGCAGATCATGCTTATGTTAAATATTTACTTAAAAATGAAAAGAAATAAGCAAAATAACAAAGCTATTTCACTCAGCCAAAACAGTATAAAGTTCCCATTTGCTTACTGTTCATTTATTTTGTCTTTTATTTATAGAGTTAAATGGTCAAAGTTATTATATTAGGATTATTAAAACATAATGTTTCTCCTCGATCATAGTCTGGCTATAGGTAAATTAAAACGAAGTTTGTCAATGGTGGTACACACCTGCAGCCCCAGCTATTTGGGAGCCTGAGATAGCTAGAGCCTTCATACTAGATGTCAGTCTGAACAACATAACAAGATCCCATCTCCAAAAATAAAAAAATCAAATGTAATTAAGATATATAATCTAGTAAAAACAAAATGAGATCATCGGGGGTTAAGTCTTTCTTGGTTTATTAGTTGAGTGATCTTAAAAACTTATTTAACTATTTTGATTAAGTTTCCCCATTTCTAACATGCAAAAAACCCTACTGCTATACCTCATAGAGTTGTTAGAGAATAAATACAGTCAGCTTTGTAAGACTGGAAAGCGGGGATGAATTTATCAGGTTATTATGGAGTAATGACTTTTCTTGGGTGAGAACTTTACAAACAGTATGATAAATCTGTTTCTTAAAGACTTTTTTTGTGTGTGTGTATGTGTGTGTTTGTGTGAATGTGTGCAATTTGTGTACCAGTAGTTGTAGAAGACATCAGATTATCCAGAACTGTAGCTACAAGCACCTGTGCAAGCCCAATGTGGGTAATGGGATCAGAACTGGGTCTTCTCCAAAAGCAGTGCAGGCTCATACTCAATGAGCTAACTCTCCAACTCTGGAAATGCTTCTTTTCATTTAAATGCTTAATTTAAATAATGTAATAAAACAGACAACCTCTTCTCTTTTTTAGTAAATTAACATAAATTACCACAACTAGGAAGTATATAGGAATAGCTATCATATTTTATAGTTAAAAGTGACAGCTTATTTTCCATATTTCTAAATCTTGCCTTTTGTATTGTTTTAATTAACAAATGATATTTGTACTTCCAACTAAACATTAAAAACATAAGGAGAAAAGTTATTTGTTAAATTTCCAAATTTAATCCTTTTTTTCTTATTTAGCTCATTTGATACAAACACATTAATAGTAGACCATACTCTTTCACAGTAATAAAAAATAAATAAATGACCACTTTGCTCTTTCTACACTCATTATCTGAATGAGGCTTTAGATAGAACCAAATATATTTTACAATATTAAGCAAACACAACAATCAAAGGAAAAATACTTGCAACAAACCATACCTAGTAATAAGAACTGCATTATCGTGGTGGGCAATCCCATTTTCTGGAATGGTGTTTCCATCACTTTGGTGGGAGAGAATGGACTTCTGCCATTTACAGAAGCTATCGAGGGACTTGTCTGCATGGTGGTTTATCTCCAAGTTTGGCTGCAATACAACATGCATACCAGAAATGTTCCAAACAATTACTAAGGTCAGTTGTTAAACTTTTGAAAACTAAAGTGGGACTATAATTAGAAGCAGTGGTTTCTAGGAATAATCTCTTGCCGATTTTTATCTCCACAACGTCTGACCTAGGACTCATTTAATTTACTACTGAACAGATTTTCCTTCCAGTTCCAACTTCAACAATAAAGAGAATGTATATAAGATCATCAGCATAAAAAAACAACCAAAACCATTATTATCAGGTAAGCCATACAAATAAAATGCTCATCCTTAATTCTCAAACATGTAGCAAGTATGCATATATGGAGAGAAAGTTTTAATAAGACATGAAATGTGTATTATTACAAAGTACTTCGATATTGCATAAAAATTAAAGTTTAGAACAAAAAAAATTTAACTAGGACTTCCTAAGAGAAGTAAAAAAGAAATGTATCTGTTCATAATAATAATCCCATAGCCTAAGATTTGATGTATAAACTAATCCATTCTTACCTGATCTTCTGTGAGAACAATTAAGCGAGCCACTATAATATTCACAACGTTTCCTAGACTGGAGTCACGGTAAAGTTTGGCAACCTGACCTCCAGAAAATAAGAAAAGACAAAAAGTCAGACAAAAATAATGTGATATTTTGAAATTCTAAAAAGATAAAAGGCAATTCTTAGGACTTTATGGCAGAAATAAAAGATACTATTATACCCTATACCACTTAGGAGTCCACTTTCAATATGCTTTGGTTAAAGGACTTCATGTAAATCTACAACAAGAAGTATTTTCTCCTAGAGATGAACTGCATACAACACAAAATCTATAATAACGAGCTGATGATTAAAGCTCCTTAAAGAAGACTTAACAACTCAGTTTTAAATACTGATAACTAAAGATGAACAATGAGAATTTTTTATTTTATTTTCTATGCAACTTAAAAGTTAATGGACCACCTGAGTATGGTGGTGCATGCCTTTAATCTAGCAGATCTCTGAGTTCAAGGTCAGCCTGGTCTACATAGTGCATTTCAGAGAGCCAAGGTTATATAGAGAGACCCTGTCTCAAAAAAAAAAAAAAAAAAAAAAAAATGTTGAGGGAGGGAACGTCCATACAATTACATGGTAGCGCATGTACGTTTTTTGTGTTCAAGTTCTAGATTTAATTCCAAGATGTAATTGAAATAATAATACAAATTCATTTTTTACAAATTTATACAAACAATAGAATATCATTATTTATTTCAATAAAAATTCACTGCTTTGGTATAAAACACAACAAACTACTTAGTAATACAGTATATAGAGGGATCAAACTTACAATATTCATCACACTCAAAATATAATGTTCGATGTCTTTACGGCCATGGTAGCCCACCATCATTTTGTCTGCCACTACCAGGGTCTCGACAAATCTCTCAGTGCTCACAGACCTTCTCTGTCTTTGATGAATATGTGTGTCATTAATTGGTGGTAGAGAAGAAAAAGCAGGGGATGTCTTATTCAGCCACCAAGGTCTGCCACTTCTTGTGAGATCTACAATAAAAATAATTAAGTAATTAAGATAGACTCACTAACCAAATACACTTGTGTGTAGATCTGAGGTAGACAGGCTCCTCATAAGCTCTCTAATGGATCAAGATAGTTGAAATAAGAGAAGAAAGAACTGTATACATGGGGAAAACTTCCAAATCTTCAAATTACATTACCTGAAAAATTAATATTAACATTCTACTGCTGATGAAAATGAAATAAATATAGCTATGAAGTGAATTAATCAATAGTTTCTTTTAAAAAGTCATTCCCCATTTTCCAGTGGCTAACTAATACTATAAGTTGGAATGTACACTGTAAGGAACCATTTAAGATTTGAAATAAATGAGGACCTGTACTTTTAAAAATATACTAAAACCATGCTGATGGAAAACAATGATGCTGTAGTAGTGATCCCTAATACGAAAAAGCATTTATGTCACAGTAAAATGACCATTAAAAATGTCTTAATGAGAACCAATTCTGTTCTTGGTTTTAAAAAAGCTATGAATTAGGTCTCCCACCTAATGTTCCTGTCTGTTTCTATTTATGTTGGCAGAATACACAGAGTATTACTTTTCTCAAGTCTAAAAGTGGGTTGCTCAGTGGTTAAAGAATGCTTAACCAAGTTCAGATTCTCAAATGCCACTTAAAGGCAGGTGAGTGAGGCAAATCACCTGTAATTCCAATCTCAGAAGACAGAAACAGGGGAGCCCGAGAACAAGCTGGCTAGCAAGGCTAATCATATAAATGAGCTGGAAGTTGGATTTAGAGACCCTGGTTTGATAGATAAGTAGAGAAACAAAGAAGATCATCTCCTGCATCAATCTGGGGCTTCCACACACACATGCATGTTACACACACACATGTGCATGCACACACACACACACACACACACACACCTGGAAAATGGAAAATAAAATAAAGGTAAGGTATTAACATGGACCTGAAAGATATGTTAGCAACATACTTCTTTGAGAATATCATTTCTACCTTTTCTTTCCTCCCTCCAAAGCCACCCCTCTTTGATCCTTTCAAAAATCATGGCCTCTTTTTTCTGCGGTTGTTTTTTTTTTTTTTTTTTTTTTTTTTTTTTTTTTTGGGGCCCCCCTTATTAATTGCTACATGGCCTCTTTTTTCATTAATTGCTGTTAGTGCGTGGTGTGTGTGTGTGTGTGTGTGTGTGTTTTTTTGTGTGTGTGTGTGTCCCGCTCAGTTTGTATTATGCTATCATGGCCTCTTTTTTCATTGATTGCTGTTAGATGCGTGAGTGAGTGTGAGTGTGTGTGTGTGTGTGTGTGTGTGTGTGTGTGTGTGTCCCAGTGTGTGTTTGCTATCATGGCCTCTTTTTTCATTGTTGCTGTTAGATGCGGGTGTGTGTGTGTGTGTGTGTGTGTGTGTGTGTGTGTGTGTGTGTGTGTGTCCCACTCAGTTTGTATAATGTTATTTGTGTGTATGTTTTCAGGGCCGACCATCTGGTATTGGGGTGCTCTTCCCTGTAAAAGACTATTTCTCCCACTCTCAGCATTCCTCAGCTGCCTACAGTTCTTTGTGTAGAGTTGAGACCAAATGCACCACCAACACCCCCCCAATCCACCATTCACTTTAGCATGTCTATTGGTGTCATCCTTGTTCAGCTCATGGTTAGAGAATCGTGTTGCTGAGATTTAATGGGTCTGAGCTTTTGACATTACTAGGAGACAAAGTCTCTGCAAACTCCCCAGTCCTTAGCTCTTATTGCTCCCTCTTCTGTCCCTGGGGCCCTGGGTAGAGGGGTGTTTTGTAGAAGTATCCACAGGGACTAGGCTCCACAACACTGCATTTTGGTTGGTTGCAACATGCTTATTTTAAAAAACATATTTGGTGTGGCTCACATAGTATATCCTTCATTTTTTTTAAATCAGGTTTTTCAGTACTGAAAATAGTTTTTACTTGTATGTCATTTGTAAATGTCATGTCATTTATGTTTTTCTTTATTAAATAAATTTGAGCAGGTAGAAGACCTTAACATGGTTCTCTTGTGCCTTTATGGAGAATTTAACCAGTAGCTAAAATGTTTAATGAGGAAAAATATAATTAATGTATAATTGATAGAAAGTGGCATTATTTTAATTGTTCTTCCATTTTGTCTTTTTAAAACCTTGCATTGATGGAATGGAGAAATTTTGCAAAGTAAGAAAAAAAGAGATGATTATGAGAAGAAACAGGTAAATACTTTGGAGGTTCACATAAATAAAATAATTCTTTTATTTCTAAAGATCAAGGGAGACAGGGACAACTACTTTTTTCAATAGTCTACTCCAGTTGTGGCAAATACACTCATACGTTACCACAATGACCCTGTTTTCAATACTCCTTTGTGAGTATGGGTAGGACCACAACTTGAATACAAGTGATTACATATATACAAATACATGATCATTGCAATAACAGTATTGCCAACCCTAGATTCTTCCTTGCTGGCTTGGTGAGAGTAAGCAACCATGTTTTATAACTCAAGGAAAGAAACTACAGGTTCCCACTAGCAGGCAAGTCAAAAACTAAAGCTATCTAAAACCACAAAGAATTGAACACTAGAAAGAACCAAGAGAAGAGGGAAGTAAATTATCCTTCAGTCAAGATGGCATATGAGAATCCTACTCTAGCTAAAGCTAAGTGTATATGATCCATCTATTCAGGCTTCCAACATTCAAAAGCTGTGGAGTAATAAATGAGTGGTTTTCACGTGTTGTTCATAAAAAATACTTGTAATAAATATTGTTGTGCTCGTTGTCAACATGTTTTTTGCAATAATAACTTCAGTCTCTCCTGTTCAGCCATCTGTTATCATAAAACGTTAAGATATGTTATGCCTATCATTCAATCCTCTTGCTAGACAGGCTACTGTCTAAATATTGAATTTAAATCCCATTACTTTGGTTGGTTTTACTTCTCTGAGCCGTTCAATTTCTAAAAGCATCGCACATGCTGCAAATAAGGATTTATTTAACAAATATATGACTCAATAATGGAAATATAGAGACACAATATTATCTATCAATGGACTGAAAAGATCCCTCACTATCCATGGGTACAAGAATAATAGTGGCTTCTTTTTCATATTTTTTTCATTTTTCCTGGATTCTCTAAAGTTAATAAAGTAGACAGAAATTGCCTCTAATTTTTAACTCATATTTTGAATAACCAAACTGTAAATAACTTAGAACTGAGTGAGTATGGCATAAATATGCCCAAAATCAAAGGGTTTTATACCCTATATTCTGACATAAACTTTGGTTCCTTGCACCAAGCTAGCTGGCAATACATGTCTATAAATTCACATCTCCCACTTGACCTGTGCTATTAAAATATATTGTGATTTACTTCTTGGTCAGACATTTTCCAAACTTACTAAGCACAAAATGTTTTTTACTTGATAAGAGCTAGTAACATTTCTGGAACATAGAATTCTACTAAAATATTCCCACCCATTGGAAGCCATTAAGGTATTTGAAAATGTGATATAGCCATATTGTGTGGGTTTGAATAGGAATGGCCCCATAGGCTCATGATTGCATGCTTGATCATCAGGGACTGGCACTGTTAGGAGGTGTGGCCTTATTGGAGGAAATGAGTCACTGATGAAGGGCTTTGCTCAAGCTAGGCCCAGTGTCTCTCTTTCTGCTGCTTGTGAATCCAAAAGAACTCTCAACTCCCTTTCCACACTATATCTATCTGCATACTGCCACGCCTCTCACCATGACAACGGACTAAACCTCTAACCTGTAAGCCAGCCTCAATGAAATGCTTTCCTTTATAAGAGTTGCTGTGCTCCTGGCACTGAGATTGACAATAAATAAGTGGAACCATCTGAAACTGAAAAGCTTCTGTAAGGCAAAGGACACAGTCAACAAGACAAAACGGCAGCTCACAGAATGGGAAAAGATCACCACCAACCCTACATCTGACAGAGGGCTGATCTCCAAAATATATAAAGAACTCAAGAAATTACCAAATACCAAATACCAAATAATCCAATTTAAAAATAGGGACAGATATAAACAGAGAATTCACAACAGAAGAATCTCAAACAGCCAAAAGACAGTTAAGGAATTGCTCAACATCATTAGTCATCAGGGAATTGTTAATCAAAACGATTCTGAGATACCATCTTATAACTGTCAGAATCACTAAGATCAAAAACACTGATGACAGCTTATATTGGAGAGGATGTGGAGTAAAGGGCACACTCCTCCACTGCTGGTATGACTTCCAACTTGTACAGCCACTTTGGAAATCAATATGGTGGTTTCTCAGAAATCTCCAGATCCAGCTACAGCAATCTTGGGCACACACCCAAAGGAGGCACACTCGCATCACAAGGACATTTATTTGCTCAACTATGTTCATAGCAACATTATTCGTAATAGCTAGAACCTGGAAACAACCTAGATGTTCCTCAACTAAGGAACGGATAAGGAAAATGTGGTGAATTTACACAATGGAGTACTACTCGGCAGTTAAAAAAAAAATGATGATCTCATGAAATTTGTAGGCAAATGGCTGAAACTAGAAGAAAATCCTTCTGAGAAAGGTTACCAGACCCAGAAAGACATAGTATGTACTCAATCACAGTTGGGTGGGAGTAAAGCGCAGGGTAACCAACCTACAGTCCATAGCCCCATGAGGCTAAATAATAAGAGCCCAAAGAGGGATGCATGGGTTTCCCTGGGAAGAGGAATAGAAGGGATCTCCTGGGTAAACTGGGGACGGGGTTGGGGGGGGGATGGAGAGATGGGAACTTGAGGGAGTGGGTTGGGCAGGCTGGGTGCAGGAGGTGGATTGATGGTGGGAGGCAGGTTGAAGGCTGGATGGAGGGAGAGAGTTAAAAAAGAGATATCTTGATGAGAGGATATTTCGGGGTTAGAGAGAAACCTGGCACCAGGAAAAACCCCAGGAATCCACAAGGATGACCTCAGCTACAACTCCTATGGGGAGGGTGCCTGAACTGGCCTTCTCCTGTCATCAGATTGGTAACTACCCTAATTGTCATCAGAGATACTGTGCCCAGCAACTGATGGAAACAGATGCAGAGATCCACACACAGCCAAGCACTGAGTTGAGTTCCAGGAGTCTTGCTGAAGAAAGGGAAGTGGGATTGTACCAATCAGGGGGGCCATGATGGGAAACCCAGAGACAGCTGGCCTGAGTTTGTAGGATCTCATGGTCTCTGGGCCAACAGTTAGGGAGCCTCCATGGGACTGACCTACTCCCTCTGCATGCATGTGACATGTAGCTTAGTCTGTTTGTAAGGCTCCTAGCAATGAGATAAGGACCTGTCCCTGGCACTTAGCTGGCTTTTGGTAACCTGTTCCCCAGTGCTGGATTACCTTACCGAGCCTTGATGTAAAGGAAGGAGCTCCGTCCTGCCTCATTTCATGTGCCATGCTTTGCTCAATCACATGGAAGCCCTGCCCCTTCCTGAATAGAGATGGAGGAGAGGTGGAAGCTGTGGGTGGATAGATGGGAAAGGGTGGAAAGAAATTACCAAGAGGAGAGGAGGGAGGGGAAACTGTGGTGGGTATGTAAATAAATGGGAGAGGTGTTATTTAAATAAAAAGAAAAAATAAGTGTTGCCATGCCCATGGTATCTCTTCACAGCAACAGTAACCCTAAGATACATATTGGGGAAACAGATTTGACTGAAGTTAGGGAAATTAGACCTGTAGACAGAATGTATTTAAAACATCAGGACAATGTTAGGAAAGAGATGAGGAACTAAGTCAACTGGACTAAGTGTTGGGAAAATGTTTAGGAAATGGTCTCAGTAACACAGAGGAGAGATGGTCAAAACAAAGTTGATCTTCCACCTCTAAGGGGCAGAAGTTTTTAGTGTTGTTTTGTTTTTTGAGATAGAGTCACTCTACATAGCCCTGGCTGTATTGGAACTCACTACGTAGACAAGGCTGACCTAGAACTCACAGATTCACCTGCCTCTGCTTAACAAATGCTACAATTAAAGGCATGTACCATACCTGGCTCTTTCAGAGGGAAATGTTTTGATAACAATAGAAATAAGTTTGAAGGTGTTTGATGCTAAAACCAATGAAAAATAAAACTGTCGCTGAAATAAACCAATGGGACATTAAAAGAATAATGTGTGCTGCAGACAGGACTCAGTCATTAAAATCAAGGCTCACAACCAAAATGACAAAAGGAACGTAATATAAACATCAAAGGTTCAGAGGTGTGTTTCAGTTATCTCCTTTATAATTACATCATGGGAAAACAAAGGAAAGTCATAACAAAATAAATGTTTGGAATCTAGTTTTAATTACAGCCTAAATTTTCTTAAATATAAAACAGATATTTCTAGTTTTATTACTTAATATAAACACCAAATCAAACCTTTCCAGTGCTTACTAAGGAATTCTGTTTCATGTTTGACGTGTTTTACATGTACTTACTTTAGATAATCTTTTTCTAGTACCAATTCTTGACCAACAACTTTACATAATTAAAAGTCTGGGAGACTTAAAACCTTACTGACTAAGAAAGTATACAGAATGAGCAAAGAACTCCAGAGATCACTTAAACACCTATGAAGGAAGAAAATGATCCTGTGAGGAATATGGGCTGAAATCAAAGGATGATGCATTCACTAATTAACCTGAAATCCAAAATCAGAAGAAAAAAATTATTTAAAATGTGCATTTGTGCTGGGCGTTGGTGATGCACGCCTTTAATCCCAGCACTAGGAAGGCAGAGGCAGGCAGATCTCTGAGTTCAAGGCCAGTCTGGTCTATGGAGTTAGTTTTAGGACAGCCTCCAAAACCATAGAGAAACCCTGTCTCAAAAAACCAAAGGAAAAAAAAAAACAAACAAAACAAACCCTTTCAGTGTGATTCCAATACACAGTAAACTCTGTAATATGGTGTATGACCTCTTGCTGTTGGTCCCTTCCAGTCTAATTTTATTTCTCACAACCACTCCCCTAGACCACCACAATTTCATCTCTGTATCCCCAATCCGCATTCTCACACCTAATATATTGATTATGAATTTATAGAATATAAATTCTTTTGGCTCAGGACTTATAACTCCTGCCTCCTCTCTGTGGAATACTGTAGCAACAGATCTTCCTCTTTGGCTCAGATATGTTCCTCTTCCCCTCAGGTCTCAGCTGAAAATCCCCACCTTCCATGAAACTTTCCTTGACCACTGAACCCTGGATTTGTTGACCCTTCTGTATTCGGTGCTATCACAGCCTGTGAATGCTCCCTAAATGCTCTTGAAGGCCTCCAAAGATGTGTATCCCTGATATTGGCATGAAAATGTCAGGTTAACCCAACAGTAGATGGTGCTGTGAAAGACCTGTGGATACAAGTTTTAAGTAAAATAAGACACTGCTCTTCTCTTCAAAGAAAAAAATGTCAAATTTCATATGGACACATTTTAAGGATTTCTTAAACAGCCTCCAAATTGACTTAAAACTATTACTAGGTAATACTTTTTAAGATAGTTCTGGACAATATAAATTTAACCACTCATATTTGTATGTATAGTTTTACTATTAATAATATTTTACTTTCCAGAAAAGAAAAGACATCAGCAATACACAATGCTTCCAAAAGTTTGCACTCACCTGAAACCCCACAATGAGAATGATCATAGATATGTCGTTGCTGGAGTGTAGACTTTTTGTAAATAACATGAGGATGGCCATTTTCATAACTAAAATGTTTAGAATCCTCTGTGGTATTCTTTAGAGGCTCAATAAAATATTCTTCATCTTCTGTAGCAATAATACCATGCTAAAAGAAGGAGCAACAAAGGATTTACCTAGAAGGGTCATTTTAAATAAATATCTTTATTACCAAGATTAAAAGATAACTCAGTATCTCCCCCAAATAGAGGTTAAAATACATGTTAATTTAAAATTTGTTTATTTTCTATGTTAAGTAGAACATTATGTGAATTTCTTCGAGTTTTGAGAAAGGGAATTAAATGCCTGCACATGTTCTGCACTGTACTAAATATGTCAAATTCACATTTCCTCAAAAACTCTCTGAGTTAGCAAAGACAGCTTTAAAAACCTATTTCCTTTCCAATTGTGCATAACTCATTTTGTGTGCTTAGGTACAACTTCATTGTTATTGAGTTTTACCCAATACAAAAGGGCAGGGGGCTGTAAATCACCTTCAGAATCAGTCTCTAAATACCATTCTAGAGGGTTTGTCTACTCTCTGCTTTCCTACTGCCAACTGAATAGAAAGACTCCCAAATTTAGGGGCAGTAGAAGCCGAAATAAAGAAAGAAAGGAAGGGAGGAAGGGAGGAAGGGAGGGAGGGAGGGAGGGAGGGAGGGAGGGAGGGAGGGAGGGAGGGAGGGAGGGAGGAAGGAAGGAAGGGAAAGAAACAAAAATAAACAAAACAAACAAACAAAAAAAGGCTAGGTCCCTGAATGGCCTCTTATAAAACTACCTGATGTAAACACTAACACAAGGGAGAAACGAACTTCTTCAGTGATAACCATGGACATTTGAGGTTTGTGATATACTGATTAGTATGTTTTTTATTTAACATTATGTTCCCTTTTGGATATGAAGGAACAGGTTCAGAAATCAAGAAATTGTCCAATACTGTATAATAGAGGAAGGAAAAGGAATTTGCTGCAGTTTAAGAAAAGCACCTCTGATTTCCCACAGTATGACATCACTGTGTGCCTGTTTAGTTACCTCCTACTCAACTGTCTTATGGCTCCTGAGAGCTTCTTGGGTTTAAATGGAGTGGAATCACTTTCCTCTGAGCTAAATTAGAGCTTATTATCAACCTGTTTATTTTCAGTTCATTTCATTCCATAAATGTATTTAACCTAGAAATTCATTAATTTCAGTAAATTCACACTGTTGCAGCACAAATCTTAAAGCTAATTAAGTTCAGTCATATGATCCCACTGCATATTTTAACTGTCAACTAAACCACTTGCTTTCTTGATGCTTACACTCGGGTTTATCTTTTAGACAGGAATAGGGAATGGTTGGTAAAGGTATGGTTTAGATGGGATATAGGTAGATTAGCCTATTTTCTTGAGAATTTGAGTAAGAATGAGATAGTATTTTACAGCTTACATTGTTGTGTATTCTTATGTGGTAAGCTATGTAAAATTAAGTTTATATTTTGTTATATTGTGTTAAATGTTTCCACTTATAATATTTTATGCACATTATTTTTTACCATATTCTATGTATGTATACTTTTCCTGTATTCAAGACATTTTGTATATTGATACAATTTGGGATATTTATCTTGCTGCCCTTTATAGTTCTACCTCTTGTCTTGACACTTATACTCTACCTCTATTTTAGGGATTTACATGTAGGTATATGTAAATAGTTATATTGTTTAAGTATTTGTTCCTGCTTTACTCAGGAAAGTTTTAATCAGTCTTTTTAGCTAAGTTCCCGAGTATTACAGATTATCTTCACTCACATTTCCTGTACCCATGAGATTAGTCAGATATAGATGCTTAATCTTCAATCACTTCATAGACATGCAGAACATGACATTTAAATGTTTTAATATTAGTACTCCATTGACATGAGACACTGTTGCTCCTGACAGCACCGTACACTTTCCCGAAAATATGTTGGACACTGTTGTTGCTCCTGCTGGAGTTCAATCTCGCCTCAGCTAATGGCCTGTTGGGCATAGAATTGCCCCCACCTTGACCACTGATTTGGACATGCAGTCCTATGTGCTTGCAGGAGACAAATATAGAAGACTGCTTGACCTTGCCAAGTCAGGGTAAGACAGCCATTCTATTTCCCTGCTGTTGTTGTGGTCTGTCAAGTTCTCTTGGCCTTAGCCAAATCTGGGTGTACCAACGTCGCTGTGAGACCTAGGGTGACTGTTCAGGTGGCTTGCTGTTTCTGTCCTTGCTGCACCTTTTGGAAGTTGTCCATCCGCATTTCCTGTCTACTCTAGTATTGTTAATTTCCTTCTCAGGTCTTGATGAGGTTGAAGATTAAACTATCACAACTATTATTCTCTCTTCCTAGTTAGATATATTAGGTACTAGACTTACGTTTTCCAGCTTAGGACAACTCTATTGTAAACTCCATTATGCCCTCACCCTAGGACTAGATATGTAGGTCATTTTGTTCTCGATTTTCCTTTTCTTAGAGCACACTTGTTATTCACTGTTTTGTATATAGTTTTGTATTAAGCCTAAATCTTTTCTTTAGACTAAAAGGGGAATTGTAGTGAGGTAGTCCTTCTGTAGCACTGACCACGCCCATTGGGGGGTGGAGCGATGGGCGGAGGTGACCTGAGGAAGGAGGTCTGAGGGGGCCAGGAAGGCGCTCTCTTTCTGGCGTGACTCGGACAGGAGAGGATCGGGTTGAATTTCCTGGTGTTCATCTGTCTAGGTTGTAAGTTATTTCTCCCTGAATAAACATCTATTCGGCCTATTTGTTTATCCTGATCCTTATTTACCGCAATAGTCTTATGGCTCCTGAGAGCTTCTTGGGTTTAAATGGAGTGGAATCACTTTCCTCTGAGCTAAATTAGAGCTTATTATCAACCTGTTTATTTTCAGTTCATTTCATTCCATAAATGTATTTAACCTAGAAATTCATTAATTTCAGTAAATTCACACTGTTGCAGCACAAATCTTAAAGCTAATTAAGTTCAGTCATATGATCCCACTGCATATTTTAACTGTCAACTAAACCACTTGCTTTCTTTAAGAAAAGCATTATGCCTTATATTTCTTTGTATCAGTTACAGCCCCAGAATGTGTCTCATATGCAGTAGGTTCAAATAGTTTGCTAGTAAAAAGAAATAAGATGGAAAAAGTTACCCGTATGAAAAATAAGGACTCCACAAAATGAATACATAAGAATTCTAATCTTGATTTCCTAATTATGGCATATGAAAGGATGGCTCTTCATCCAACTAGACTTTAACACCAGCTAAAACACAAATTCTCTGAGCTTACTTCCTCATCTGAGAAAAATGAAAGAATTGGTCTAAATTACTCATTTTAAAACAGGACTCTGGGAAGCCCTAAGGGTTCCATGAAGTACCCTGGAGGGAATGTCCCAAACAACAAAGGGAGACCTACATAACTTCGATTCCAGGACTCAGAATCAACTGTTATTATTAATCAGTGTACTAAGTGTTCAAATAATAGTTCATATGTGAAGAGTTTCCTTCTCTAAAAAGGAAAAAAAAATGAAATATCTGGCTATCTGGTCCAAATAATCATTAATGTCCCTTTGATTTCTAAACTTCTATGATTCTATTTAGAGAAATTCATTTGAACTACTACATGCTTAGAAAGATAGATAAGACATAATGAGATATGTTATAACCTACAGAGAAGGTTGTCATTCATCCACAACCAGCATGAAATGAGGCGAGGAATAAAAACAAAAGGAGAGGAGCCCTTAGTAACTTCATGTTATTTTTATGACTGTTTATATCCATAAGGATAACAGTCCCTATATTAAATGCAAACCCTGAGGAATAACTCAATACACTTTTAAGAAACTCCAGTATCTATGTAAAAATGAGTTTACCAGGCAGTTTAACAATGTACTAGAAAACTGAGCACACTGTTTTTAAAAACAGGCAAGTTTTGTTAAGACTGATTAGAAGAAAATTTGGTACAACAATCTAGAGTTTGACCCACCAAGGCTAGGACAATGAAGTCACACTGGTCTATCATCATCAGTATTAAGCTAAAAGCCTCTAACAAAAAAAAAAAAAAAACCTCAGGTTATTGAGGGAAAACAGATTCAGAAAATTAGTAAGTAAGAAAGAAGAAGAAGCCCTGTAAGAATGAATAAATTCTGAAATGGCATTTGAGGGGTTTTATGGAGTATGTATCCAATAAAATGTTTGTACATTTCTCATTTAATCTTAATAGCTCTGTGAAATAAAAATATGATCAGCTCTACTCTACAAATAAGAAAAGGGGCAAAATTTAGCAGCAAACTCATTTGACTGAGTTCAGAGTTCAGACAGCTAACCACTATACTGTAATTATCTCATCATCCTATTGAGTGCCTATGGTAGTATGAAAACTATACTAGTTGGTGGAGGTAAAACAGTGAATCTAAGACTGTCATTCTAGCAGAAAAGGTAGGAAAAGGTAATTAATTAATTACATATGTAAATTACATCAGATCATGATGTCAAGAAAGGGTAGTGAAAAGGGACAGAGAAGAATTACAAGAAAATTATACAATTTAGAATATTTGGAAGTATCCTCTCTGGTGCACTGTTTGGATTGCAGAGATAACTCAGTTGGTGAAGCGCTTGCCTCATGCACATTAAGACCTGAAGTGAAGCTCCAGAAACCACATACAAGTACAGGTGTCACACTCTTGTAATATTACTCTCTAGAATAATCCCTGCTCTAGGGAGATGGATAGAGATGGATCACTGAGGTTCAATAGCCAGCTAGTCTAACTTACTTTGCCCTAGTCAATGAGGGATTCTGTCTCAAAAAACAAAGTGTATGGTACCAAAGGAACAACACCTGAGGCTGACTACTGGTGTGCACATGCATGGAAACACACATAAAATATAGTGGTATTTGAACAGAAGCCTGCATAAAGTAAATGAGTACACAAAAAAAGATTACTGATTAAAAGACCTAGCACAAAGAAAATGAGGTGTTGTGGGATATTTGTTTACACTGCATGATGATGTGTCTATGTTTTGCCTCACCTGCCTAAGGTACCTGATTGGTTTAATAAAGAGCCAAACAGCCAATAGCTAAGCGGGAGAGGTTAGGCAGGACT